TGGGCTAGCAAATTTGGGATAAACAGCAAGAATGTCCCCAAGCACCCCCAATTCAATGTAGTAATTACAAAGTTCATGATACAATAAGCCAGGTGGCCTGAAATCTTTGACAGTGTCACATTCAATAATATAGTGTTCAAGTGTATGCTTCAAAGGTTTATCACAAAGTTTACATGCTGAGTGTTCCGGTATGGGTACAGCGTTATTAACTTGCCAGATGTGTGTATCCTAGCCTAATTCTGGCCACGACTACATCACATTGTCTGGTTCTGTCCTTATGATGGCCATACCGGTACCTCACATAACAAAATTTGCCATATTTACTAATGCTACAACTGCCAGGTCTCTCTGCATTTCTCAGTTCTTCTAGATCAGAGTTCATGATTCTGACTTGTATGTTTTTAAGTACAGCATTGGACAAGCCATGGTCACGGTCAACATTTTCTTTCTTACATGCCTTTGGCCAGTCTATTAGCACAGTCATGATACCTAATTCCAACATGGGACAGAATCCACAAAAATTCGATACGAGAGTTTTTCTCATTGGCAGTTATCACATTTATTTTAATATCACATAGAATTTTAGACATAGAACCTGATGGGCTGTTCATTTATTTCAAAGCACTTTGAGAGTCTCAGAATATTGTAGTGGATTCCTCCCCTACAAGCACCGAACCTTCTTGAATTCCCCAGCCTACGCCTCCAGCGCCGCCCACGGAGCGGGGGTCAACTATCTACCCACGCCTACCCCCGCCTTATAAGGCCTGACACCGCTGTGACCAGCTCTCTTTCTACACAGCGCCACCAGCAAGCAACACCTCCTCCTCTGTGCCAGCCTGGCGGCTGCCGTTCCCGCCAGCGACCTTGGCGTCCTTCAAGCCGCGTGTCCCTCCTCTGGGCACCCTCACCACCCAGCTCTCTCTACTCAATGCTTATTACCATGCTACCTACCCAGCAACAAGCTGCATTGTACATCCAATACAATATGTATACAGTGAGCACATTGTGAGTTTCCTTTCTCCATCCCATCCTGAGTGTGAACCATTAACTCATACCCCTACAAATGGTGACCCCGGAGTGACCACTCACACAGGATGGAGGAGAAACTGATCACTCTCCCAGTCTTCAAGCAACATGGAAGACTGGCTTACCCACGTAGAGGCAGCTCTCATTTGCTCTACAACTACTGTCTCTACACCGCAGGTTAGACACTCTAGAGCAGCTCTGCTAATCTAAGCAGACAGCCACTCCTCTTCCTGCCCCAAGCACCACGTCCTACCGACCCCAACACACCCGTCCTGCCTCAGACGCCGCCCCCGGCCCAGCAGTGCCCCCTGCCGCGGACCCACACACCCCTCTTTTCTCCCTCAGGTACCCCCTGCTACTGTCCTGCACCCTGCTGCTGTCGTGGACCCTGTTGCTGTCATGCACCCTGCTGCTGTCATGGACACACTTCCTGACGCAGCCCCTGCTCCTGACCCAGGCCCACACACCCCAGCAGGCGCATCTGACGACTCTGTACCTGTCGCGAGGGAAGCACAACATTCATCGCCTCCACAACCCTCCTTCTCTCTCTTTTCTCCCACAGATCTCGTGGCTGTAGACAGAGTTGCCCCCCAGCGGCCTGCTCATCCACACCCTCGCCGTTATGTCCCACATGTGGCATGCACCGCCCGTTCTGCCTCACATGTGGCACGCATCTTTGCCAACCTCCAGCCACCCGCCGCGCCCAGAGGGGAAGGGGAATATTGTAGTGGATTCCTTCCCTACAAGCACCGAACCTTCTCGAATTCCCCAGCCTACGCCTACAGCGCCGCCCACGTATCCGACGGCGCTCCTGAGTTGCAAAGGAGCACCAATTTTTGAAGTCTTCCCAGTCCTCTGGAGACTGAGACCTCCGTATGGCAGAGTGGAGATCATGGGTTACCTGCCGGAGATGTCTCATGGCAGGGATACAATACCAGTAGTTGGTGGCACTTCTGGGGTGACGGGGAGGGCGGGGAGGGGTAGCGCGATTGACAGAGTCATACACGGCATCAACAAAATCAGCGCTGTAAGAGTCAAGGGACTGAGGGACAACATAGGAATCCGCCCAGGTAGAAAGGTATTGGGTAAAGGAAGGAACAGCATCTTGTGTGAGACGAAGGCGAGGGTATCGATAAGGAGCTGATGTTGGGGCAGAGAAGGAGAGCCTGAGATGGGTAGTAACGGCAAGATGGTCACTATACAGAGCAGGCTCGGTGCAGACGGTAGGATGAAAGGTAGTCCGTGGCTAAGTAGATTCCAGTTAGTTCAGTTTGTGTTGTGCTGGCCCAGTTGTTCAGCCTTTGCTTGTTTGACACTATCATCTCTTTTTCTTTATATATTACAATTGCACAGCCTGTTCTACCTGTGTTTGTTTGCACACAACCATCAGTAAAAGCATAACATTCACTTGATTTAATACTTTCTGTGTGTCTGTTAGTAGTTTCTAGTGTGACACATCTCATCACATCATAAATGTCATTACCACATATTATACCACCTGGGTTAAGTCAAGGAGGAAGGGGGGTAGCACAAAACCACCTCTGTGGACACATGACCCTGTAGTGGATTCCTCCCCTACAAGCACTGAACCTTCTCGAATTCCCCAGCCTACGCCTCCAGCGCTGCCCACGGAGTGGGGGTCAACTATCTACCCACGCCTACCGCCTTATAAGGCCTGACACCACTGTGACCGCCCTCTTTCTACCCAGTGCCACCAGCAAGCAACACCTCTTCCTCCGCGCCAGCCTGGCGGCTGCCGCTCCCACCAGCGACCTTGGCGTCCCTCAAGGTGCGTGTCCCTCCTCTGGGCACCCTCACCACCCAGCTCTCTCTACTCAACGCTTATTACCATGCTACCTACCCAGCAACAAGCTGCATTGTACATCCAATACAATATGTATACAGTGAGCACATTGTGAGTTTCCTTTCTCCATCCCATCCTGAGTGTGAACCAGTATCTCATAACCCCACAACCCCATCCTCACCAAAGAAGGAGAGAAGGGGTAGAACAGCTTGCCAATGCTTATAAGTAAAATAAAACTAGTGATAACCTCCTGGCATTCCTCAAAGCTAACAGAGTATTTTGTGAACTCAAAGGTCAGGTGAGAAACACCTATTGGGAACAATTTTTATATATTGGTCTATTATATAGAATATTTTTTCAGGTCTCAGGAAGAGTAGAAGTAGCACTGTACAGTAATTCTTTGACAAGCCTATTATTAGCACCTAATTAAACTCGTCATTCCACCCACTGCTTTACCCAACACCACACATAGCCTACACCACACCATGGATTCTGAGACTATAGGAGGATATCTCACCCAATATTAAATTTTTTATCATCTCCGGAGCCGTAGATGTCGGTCACACTAGAATAACCCGTTATAGTACTTCCTTCTTTCCTCACAGCCAAGCTGGTTTTCCGGCATCTTTGTGGTGTAGATTACACAGTATAACCCTTTTCTTCTCTATTTTTAATTTCTTTCTGTTCTTATTTTTTCGCCCCCTGGGCCCCGTTGTGGGTCGTTTGGCTTGTGCCTGGGTGGGTTAATTCCCGTAAAAAAAAAAAAAAAAAGGATGAGAACCCACAGAGCAATAGATAGAGCGCAGCCAACCTGGCGCCATGTTGTTACTCAGCGGGTGCAAAGTTGTAGTGGACCCCATCCCCTACAAGTGACGACTGAGCTCCCGCGCGCCTACCAGCCAATCAGCGTACAGCCAGCGATGCTGGTAGACCTGCTCTCCAGTGCGGACGCACACGTAGCAACGCTAGGATCAGAGTGCCGGGTATTCCTAGCGTCCTCCTCTGTGATTGGCTCTCGCGCTTCGCGCACCCCAAATCCTGATGTTTCTGAATTGTATAAATACGGGCGTGGTTGGCCAGGGAGACGATTCTACTCTGACCTACTGGACCAGCAAGATCTCTCTACAGCGCCTCACCACCCAGCTCCCTCAGAAAGCTCCTCGCCCTAAAGGACCTCTGAGCAAGCTACTCCTCACCTAGTAACTCCTTAGCACAGCACTGTACAACAATATATATACAGAAAACGCATTGTAAGTTTCTATTCTACCTCATTCCTGAGTGTGAGATATCTACATGTACGTACGTTTGTGTGCCCATACAAAGAGACAATAGACAACTAAAGAAAACTGACAACTGGCCACATACTGTACGCTACAAAGTCTTCTTGGGCTGTCTCCCACATAGTTAATAAACATCTTTTCCAATTGTAAACATGCATGATAAGTTTACTGAATAAATAACACCATCATCATCATCCTCTACAGTACGAGTGCAATTTTGTTCATCAGCTTTGTAACAACATGACGGCCTCATGTCACAGAGTTGACCAAACTCTATCAACGGCTCGACCCCAGAGCTGGGGGTGTCGCCAAGCTACCGGGAAGTTAAACAAAAACACAAAATATTTGTTCACTTTACTTATACCCTCTTCGCCTCGTTAGCCGCTTGGGCGATAACACCAGATTTTTCAAAAATATAATTTATATATAGTTAGTAGGTTATTGACAACCAACTTATGATATCTAGGGATGAATTCTCGAAGGAACACATTGATTATTTTGTGGTAAAAGATAATTATTTGCCTACTAAAAGGATCCAGACATGCTCTATGTATGTACTATTAGTACAGTACTCTATGATGTACTGTATTTAAAGTTTCTTGTGCAGTGCACTTTTGTATTATTTATACCATACTATATAATAAGAAATTGTGTATTATTTAAACAAAATTTAAGTTACATATAGATATCACATTCACAGAATGTAATTGATAAGTTAATTATTGGAGGAGAGAACCGTCATCCTGGTTTGTTATGGTCCCCAGCAGACCACCCCGGGCCGCCGCCAGTGTCAGTGGCTCGTCTGACGGTCGGTGGCTCGCGGCTCTCACCCAGGGGAAAGTCGCTCACTCCACACATCGCTGTCCAATCACGCCTTGACTAGTGTAAGCACTCGACACACGGAGCATTGTACTATACCATGAAATACTTTGCATGTGCTGTCGATGGATGGTGGAAGTGTAGTTCTTCAGATTTATAAGAAGGAATGTGGGTGGCCAGTGTCTTGATAACGACCACGGCACTCGGCAGTATCGCTAAAATGATAACTGCAGGTAACTACGCTCCCAGAAATTAAGAGGAAGTCTGCATGTAGTGTCTGGTGAGAGATTTATTAAAAATACTACTGTACATTAAAGGATATTGGTCGAGTTTAATAGAAAATTTATTACTGCCAAGATGCTTAATAATAGGTAAATTGGAATGATTAATCGGTAAAATGGTTTAGGTAAAATTGCAGTTTCACTACCAATTGGTTTTTGACTAAAAATCTACCGGAGAGGTTTTTACCCCATGGTGTTTGGTGTGATTCATTCGAATTTGACCTTAATTTCCTTCGGATATGAGTCGTTGTTGAGTTATCAACAATCTTGGGGACCAGTGGGAATTCAAGATTTTTGGGTGGGGGGGGAGAGCAAAAACGGAAGCTAAAAGGAAGCAAACCAAACAAAACCTACCCTAACCCAACCTAATCTAACCAAAACCTAATGATAGCTGATTGACTGAAGACAATGGAATAAAAACTACAAAGCTTTGTGATTGGTCCTTTTAAGCCCACCAGATGTCTGATGGTAAAATTTTTAACTTAAGGGAAAACTGCTACTGGCAGATGTCTCTCATAATTGCTATATCAGAGTTTGTAGAGATAATATCAACCCTGATGGCTGCGCAATATTGTACGTGAATTTCCTCCGTGAATCTGCCATCTCGGTTATTATCCATTTGCAATGGAAGTGGTATTAGAAAAAACTGTTGTAATTGACGAGATATAACTTCTGGTGAACCCAAAATTGCTCTAACCCAATTGAAAGTGAAACTGCAGTAACAGCATGAATTTTACTTATAAATTTCCAGCAATGTCTTTATTCAGGTACAACCTTCTTTCTTGATACTTCTTAATTTCATTCTAGGATGTCTATTTTTCGGTAAAATTTCACTTGTGAGTTGGATTTTTACATATTGGAAAGTAAAATTGTCTCTTGGAGTTTTTAATTGAAAGAGGTGCAGTGTTACTATGGTTGTTTGGTGTACAGTAGCTGCATTTTCTGGGTTTCCAGTGGTGATTGTGAAAGGGGTGG